CAAGAGGATGAGGCCAGCCTCTTCTCCGTGGTGCCCCGCAACAGGACAAGAGGCAATGGGCAGAAACTGAACCACAGGAAGTTCCATCTGAACCTGAGAAAAAACTTCTTCACTGTGAGGGTGACTGAGCATTGAAACAGGTTGCCCAGAGAGGTGGTGGAGTCTCCTTCGCTGGAGATATTCAAAAGCCGTCTGGATGTGATCCTGGGCAATATGCTCTAGGTGACCCTGCTTGAGCAGGGAGGTTGGACTAGATGATCTCCAGAGGTCCCTTCCAACCTAAACGATTCTGTGATTCTGTCAGGAGGCAAGGAATTGAGAGAGACAGGACAAAGAGTTGCCTTTTATTGAATCAACCTTACGACTAGTATGATTTTAATGTAATCAGCTTGCTTTGAGACTTGTTTTCTCTGTCACTCTTTCTTCTAAGAGAAACACTAGTTAGGGAGTTTTAGTGAGGGACTGACTTTTCTCAAGTAATGCTTAGCTACGGAACCCGCTGGCTGAAATAGCTGACCATGTTCATAACTCCACACGAACATTAATCGTACTCTGCATGGTACGCTTGAGCAGTCTTGAGGAATCAATAATGCTGCCCTTGTGCACAAAATCTGCTATAGTTTTGAAACTGCTTATTCCATGGTCCGTTCATCTATCCAATTTCAGATTTGTTGAGGAGAGTTGGTGGGGGTTTTTGTCTGTTCCAGTAGTTCACTCTGCAAATACGATTCTGTAATGCAATAAGACAACTTTTTTTATTACTCAATGCTTAAATAGTGATAACATGATGAAAGTTATAAAATAAAATGTCCCTTGTAGGCACATATTTTATAAATATATATTGTATGTATTTTTATGGGAGTTAAATGCAAATAAACAAATGTGTAATCTTGGATGAAGTGGTGTTTTCCCACAGTTTGCACTGTTCCCAGAACTGAGTTAAGCACACTTGACAAATGGGAAATACAGGGGAGGAGTGATACATGCTGGTACTGTAATTTAAACACGATCTTTGAAGTATTTCTGTGCAGTGTTTTTGCATGTGTATTATCTTCACCTGCTTTCATTACTTTGTAGAACTGACCAGCAGGAAAAGAAAAAAACATTTTATAGTATGAAAGTGTACGTATAATCCAATGTGTAGAGGGGTTATAGGTCAATCTTTACTATATAGTGCCCTGCTATGTTAATAAATAGGCTAAAAAGGAAATAAAGAAGTCTTGCTGCAGTTAACAGATGTTTCTCAGTGGAGCTGAATGTTGGAAGAAGTATGCAACCAAAGATGCAAGTGTACTTAGTATTGCCTGTGTTAAACTGTGTCATGGAAGCTAGCGTGGCAGCAGCGCCATTTAAATTGGTGCTGCAGTAATAAAGCGTTTCCTATCCACAAGGGAAAACTGGCAGTACTTGCCATATGGATGAAAAATAGGGCTTTGTTTACTATTATATTGTTGTACAAATGACGTTCCCCCCTACTTTGTAATTCTTCTAGAGTATGTCTGAAACTTTTTGGCCAGGAATTGTTTGTATGCATGTATAGAGAAGTTAAAATACACAGAGCGAAAAAGTTGCATGTCTTAAAATAAAACTTCCTCTTCGAAGCCACTCATGATATTTTCCAACTTATAACAGAAAGTCCTTTTAATGATTTGAATGTGATAAATAATTCTACATGAGCCGTTATTTTGGTGACTAATGCTCCATTTTATGATCTCCTGAAATTGTATTTGTTCATTTTCACTTCTCTGAAGTAATGAACCAAATCCAGAAGTTCTTATTTTTGAAAAGTCATTTTTTTTTAACGTCAGAGAACAAATTAGAAAACACTTTAGTAATTCAGTGGAGCACGTTGTTTATTAATCAGAGCAAAGATTTCCGTAGTACAGTTCTAGGCGTAGAGGTTAGGTGTTCGGAGCAGGGAGGCAACAATATTCTGTTTTATTTGTCTGGTTTGACCTAGGATGAGGTCTTAATTTATGACCAGAGCTGTTGGATGCAGTCGTCATGCACATACGTAAACAGAGTCTTGGATTCATCTGTTCTAATGTCAGAGTTTTTGACCTAGTTACCTTAGGTTGCCTTTGTAGTCGATGGAGAAAATAGGCACTCCTGGAGCCTGATTCACCTCAGGCTTGAATATGTTCCTAAAACTGGTCAGATGAATTTCATCCCGGTGGCGCTTGTTTAGGTTATTTTCTAGTCAGCGGAGAGCAGGGTGCCGAGGTCGGATGTTGTTGTCCCAGAATGTCTGTGCTGAATGTGACCGAGTCTGAATTATGTACTCCTTTCAAATGTCTAAAGCAACATGTTTTAAAGGAGCAGTTGCTGTACAGTTATTGAATCAGAACACGAAGATGGGAAGTTTACAGCTAGATTGATATTTCGGTGTGAATTCCCACTGATTTACCAGGATACACACACAACACACAGTAAAACACAGGTACAAGGCGGAGATATGAATTGGAGTACCTATTTTTGAACTCAGGTCACCAGTATAATTTGTATTCCAGCATTAAATGTAAGTTTTGCTGAAGGAAATGGAAATGGGCATTCCATGTAATCCAGAAAAAAGTAACTTTAAGAATGATTAGCGTTAAGGAAAGAACGGTGCCAAGTTAATGATGTGCTCTATTTTGAATAATAACAATTCCATTTGACTATCAGCTCTAATTTATACCGATTCTAAGTGAATTGATAGCAAGCCTTACTGTCAAAGCTTAGTGTGTACTATAGTTTTGGTTTTGTCCACATTCAGAGCAATCTTCATTTACGGTATCAAGATATCATGATGCTTGTTGAGGAATAGCCTGCATTTGTTAATTGTTTGCAAAGCATGATAAGTACATACTCAAAGCGAAGTAATCATTCATTACATTTTATTTTTTGGTTGACTTGGATAGTTTTGTGAATGACAGTGTTGGATATATTTGCCAGTTTCTCAGACTAGATCAAATGTAAATTCCAGAAGTTTTGTCATGAAATTCTGCAGAGGGCTGGCTGAGATGCTTAACAATCCGACTATCCTCAGCTTTTCATGTTAAACTGACAGGCAGCTGAACATCACTTTTGTTGTTGTTGTTCTAGTGTGGCTGGTTACTTAAATTACCACAGAGATGCTGTTCAGTTGTCAGTGATGAGGAGAGTAGACCCTCAAATAATCCATCTTGAGAATGTGATGTATGCCCAGAAAACTTGGAAAGACTGCTGATTACTTCCTAATCAGCTCATTACAGCTGCTGAGATGCTGAGCAGGAGGAACTCCCCATGCCAAGTTACTTGACTCTGCTCGAGATTCCAGACATAACTGGCTTGGTCTGAAAGACTCTGAAGTCGCATTTTAAAATGACAAATAATTGCTAATCGAAGAGAAAAGGAAGAGATTTACTTCATAGATACAAGTTATGGCACAAGAACCTAGATTCTGATATTCGTGTGGAGCCTTATCTCGCCATTGCTCCAGCTCTAATTGGTGCAGCTGTTTGTGGAGAAAGCGGTGGTGACCGGAGTAAGGGTTTGAGAATCTGACCTACAGTAATGCTTGGAAAAAATCCAGAAAGATCTTGCGCTTGGATTTGAATGTGGCTGTTGTTTGCTGGCTTAACCTTTTGTTGTAAAACTTTCTGTGCTAGCAGTTCGTTGTTGTGAATGCACGACTGTCCTAACTCTTTCTTTGTTTTGTCTTAGTCACATTGATCAGACAACAACATGGCAAGATCCTAGGAAGGCCATGCTTTCCCAGATGAACGTTACAGCTCCCACCAGTCCTCCAGTGCAGCAGAACATCATGAATTCAGCATCAGGTAAGCAAAACCAGTATTTATGAAAAAGGTCATACAAATGAAACATCTCTGTAAAATCTGAAGGGCTGTGTGTCCAAATCTCATACTTGTCGTTCCAGTTATCCTAATTTTAAACTTTAAATTTGAAAAGCCTGTTGCATCAAGCAAGAAGCTGATGCTTGAGGTATGAGAATGTGTATAGCAATTATAATCCTTTAATGTGTAATTCTGTTCCCCCCTCCCCCCCTCCATGGCTGATTCATGCATTTAAAGGAGCAGAAGTTCTACCTTAATTTCTTTTGGCTGAAAATGCTGTTTAAATTTATTGAAAACAGAATTTATTTTAAATCACTGTTATTTCATGTTCAAGCTATCGTGCTTTTACAGTGTTCTTCTGCCTCCCCGTGCTTACTCCAGATTTGATGTTCTTACATTCTTTTACATCTCCCACGTTTGTTATGAATAACTCATTCTTCTGTCTTCCTGATGTGAATATAGCAAACACCCAGAAAAGTCTTGTTTAGTAGCAGAGATGTTTTGGTTTTTCCTCTTCCTTTCCTATCATTTCCAGAATCCTATTTCATGGTAATTATTCCTCCAGCTGAGGAGTCAGATGTTTTTTTCCTGGAGTATAGAATTGTTTTTACAGCTAGTCTGTGAGGGCCATCACTAGACAGCAGTATAGTATGCTTGTTCTTACTAGAAAAAGTGATATGTATTTTCAGAGCTTCCTTGTCCTAATGGTGCAGAGAACAAGTAGATACATTTGATTCTATACTAGTTTGACTGCTGCACTCTTTCCTGTGCTTTGTTATCTTCTGTCTGGCACTGAGGTTCATTTTTTTTAGTTTATTTTCTCGCAGTCTGATTTTATTTTGTGTATGTCTGCTGTTCCTGTATTTTGCTAAGGTTATTCTCTTGTGCTGCCTTTTGTTGTCCATATAGAAAGCTTTGTTTCATGCTGCAATTCACATGCTGCCAGGCAATACCAAAAGATTAGCAGGCATGAGCAAACTGTGCTGTTCGTGACTAAATATTGGAATGGAAGCTAACCAAACCGTATCTCAACTTTTTGCTGGCTAGGCCAAGAGGTTGGATTTTCCTGAAACAAATGAAGGAGTCCTGTTCAAGTTTAAGAAGTTGTGGTTCAAAGCAGTTAAGCTTTCACTGTGTCATGTGAAAATATAATCTTTGTTTTTTTGTTTGTTTTTTTCTGTAAATATATATCCTAGGAAATCTACAGCACTAGAGACGATGATAAAAGCGTAGGGATACTTCTGAAGAACAGGGAATAGGAGAAAGGGAACAATTACCTTGGTCTGCCTTACCTTTGATTTATCTCCATATTTATATTCAAGTTAGATGCTCATTGCTTGAATATCAACCTAAAGTTCTGTGTTTTAAGGTGGCTCCCCGATCTTTCCATTGTACCAAGGATTAATAGGGAAAAAATGTTGATAGTGAAACAAAATACACTGTATGTACGTGGAAAAAATATATGTCATCACATGTATTATCCCAGTGAAGGATCTTTAGCCAAAAAAATATGAGTACACCAGTTAGTTATAAGAGGGTAAAAAGCTGAAAAAGAGTCTAAGAATTATTATTCAGGAATTATAAAAAAAAAAAAAAAAAAAAAAAAAAAGGATTTAAATGAAGTTGATTAATGCAAGTGTGATCGAGTGCTCTTACATTGATCCGGCTGTTCTTGTAATAGCGTTGAAACAGAGCTATGTGGGGTGTCTTGTGACTGGAGAAAACAGACTTATTTGAATACAGTACAAGTTTCTTGGATGTTTATGTTTAATTGCACAAATGATTTTGTATTGAAGATGAGTTGAAAGTCTTGTAAAGTTTTTTCCCAATGCTCTGACTTTGATAAAGTGCCTGAGGAAATCAAAACTTCTCAATGTATCGATAGTTAAGTGTTTACGTGGCTTTTTTAAAAGCTTAAATCATTGAGATAATGTAATTTAGAACTGGCTTTTTGGATGCACCTGCTATCTCTTAACTTCCTTATGTTTAACAGAAATCTGTTTTGAATTAAATAATATTGAACCTGCTTTTATTGTATGTCATTCTATTCCTGATACCTGATTTGTACTAACTTCCAAATATGACTGCGTATTTGTTTTTAGTAAAACTTCTTGTATCTGGTTCTATTAACTTTTACTACTGAGTTTACAGCAACTTTTGCTTCCTTGGTGGCTTTCCTAATCAGTAGGAGAAATGGAAAAATCAAATAAATAACTGTTCCCTGGGCACACTGGAACTTAAATCTGAGTGCTAGCATCATATAAGACTACGCTGGTGTTCTAATTGGATAGTCGTCCACAGGAACTAGGAAATAAAGTTGAGACTTTTAAATCACAAGTTTGCTGTTATGAAATGTCGGCAATGAAACATGCCCTAGTGCCTTGAGAGCCTTTCATGAAAGATATTAGAAAAAAACAAATAAAAGCATTGTGACAGCTGGAGGTCACTGACTTGCGAAGAAACATCCAAAATACCACAAAAAGAGAGAATGTTTTCCTTTCTGCACAGTTCATCCTTGTACAGCGCTCATTAATTGTAGTTCTTAAAACTTGGATAGCAACTCCTAATTAGTACCAGCATATATAATTACAGACTACCTTAGGAGCCTTTGAGTAAAATTGCACTGTGGTAAAATAGGCAAAGAACAGATTTTTAGGAGCAGTCTTAAAAGCCATAGGAGGTTTCTATTAGCTAGAACCAAGAACGGGAAAACAAACTGAAGAAGGAGGGATAGAACAGAACTGGGAAAATTGCTATCTGCATATTGAAGACAATATCCCCTTCTAGAGAAATATGACAAATGGAGTTCAGGGGAAGCAGGAAGAGAGCCAAACCAGGTGATGTGATAAGAGTGATGGCAAGTCAAAAGAAAGGGTTTAAAACTAAATTCAAAACTGACAAGGGGGAATATTGTTTAGGCTGGTGATTGAGATTTTTAGGTTACTTTTCTTAAGAAATCCCACCTCTTGAAGCAGCTAAGACTAGATGGAAACACTGAAAATCTTTCTGCAAGGTGCCTCTCTTTAAGGAAATTAATGTGTCTTCAAACAGCTTCATCTTTTCCCAGCATGATTTTGTGGATGAGCCATTTTGAGTATTCTTAAGCACACATGCTTTATAGGGGTGCATGAGTGTTTGCAAAGTGCCTTTTTTTGTTTGGGGTTTTTTGGTGTTTTTTGTTTCAATCTTGCTGAAAGTATTCCATGTAATCAACAGAAATTTTAGGCCATATGTATGAGGAGAAACACAACACTTTTTAGATACCGTTTGCTGTTTAATCATCTTCTATGAAATAGGATCAAATGAAATCATTGGAAATACACATATCTTACAGTCAACAGTGGAAAGAAAGCAAGCTTGTTATTGCTAAGTATGCAACAAGTACATAAAGTGTAATTCAACTGCTCTGTTTTTAATGTGTTTGGAATAATTTTTTCTTAAGGATATTGCAGAAAAAGTTCTATGTTCTTTTTAAGAAAATATGTAGTAATAAGCAAATATGTAGTAAGAAAGTTACAGTTGTACTGAGGAACCTATCCTATGCAATTCCTACTGAGATGAAGTTATGAATTTGAAAATAAACAATGTCTCTTTCTTATATAATTATGATTGATAGAGATGGGCTAATAATAATGTATTAATATGCAGCCCTTCTCCAGGTAGTTTTATTTTCTGAATCATGCTTGACTGCCCTGCTCTTTTTAGCCTCTTCTGCTTGCACATAAGCGTTAGCTAATTAGCTGAGGTGCAGGTTCCCTGTCTTTGTGCACTTTCCTCTTCCTCTTAGATTGCAGTTTTGAATTGGGCTTCTTGGTGAAAATTCATAGCCCTAGTGTCATTTGAGCTACCTCTTAAGGTAGGTCATAGTGCCATGTTGAAGGTAGGTAGGAAAATAAACACTTTGTAATTCATAACTCTAAAGGTTTTCTCCCTTGAGGGCGGGGGGAGGAAGAATATGCCAATAGCTAAAGCAAGTTCTAGCTCTTCTCTTGAGATTCTTTCTTGCTTCAGGGGCAGCTTTCTCTCCTCTGTGTAAACTGTCGTACTACAAATTCTGCTTTGTGTGCAGTCCACACCACATATGTTCTGTGGTGAAGCTCAAGTTTCTAAGTATTTTCATGACAGTAATGTTCATTTCTTACTTCACAAGCAAATGTCAATCCCCCTCCCCCTTTTAAAGTATCTTGTTGTAAGGTTTACTAGCTCACCAGCATCTGATTTTCCTAGGTTTTTCATACATGTTCTCCTGATAACTAAATACAATATTCTCTAATATGCTTTAGCCTAATGATAAAGTAAGCTTTGTTCATCTTCTGTGTGGTAAACTCCTGCTTTTTCTCTGTTTTATTTACATTTATTTTACATTTATATGTCAGAAATTCTAAGAACTTGTAAGATTTACCTTGTAATATAAATTCAAGCTATGGTGGGATAACATTTTTGCTTTAACGTTGCTCTTTCTATTGCTTTACTGTCTGTCAGCAGTGAGCTCTGCTTTGCATTCAAGACTGTGTATTTCATGGCAAAAGTGCTGTCTTTAAAAAGCAAAAAAACTACTAAAAGGGGAGACACCTGCCAAACGGAGACATACCCACCTTTAAAATTACATGTATTTATGTTAAGTTACAGCATTATATAAATGTTTAGTTACAAAGGTATGCCTTATCAGTACTTCTCCTAAGATAGCTTACATTTGGAAATTGGAATCTAATTTTTGGATAACCGTGTCTTAAAATACCACAGTAAATGACAAGGTGAACTGGAAGATTCTTCTCTCCCTGTACAAATTACTTTATAGTATTGCAAGTTTATAGTTGTGAATGTTTGTGGTTGAACTAGGAACGTCCAACAGAACTAGCAGGAGACCTTGTTACAAGGATACTGTGAGTGCTACATATTTACATGTTCAGGGGGAGCCTGGAAGAGTGCTTGAGAGAGAAATCCTTTGTGGCTTACTAAATAAACAGAATCTGGCTCAGGAAATCACCTGAGGTATCAGGCACAGGAGAGTACTTATAGCGATGTTGTGTGCTTTGGGGGTTTTTTGTTTGTTTTTAAATATGTTTGGGCATTCAGTGCTTTATTTAAAAGTTTATGGACTCTGACAGTAACTAAACAGGCTGCTTTCAGTCAACTATCAGCAATAAATCTGTGCACTCAAAACAAATAAGTCTCCTTGTCCGCTTCGATTGTTGAAAGACTTCGCTCAACTTCATCACAGTTCTCTCTATTCCTGATGCTGTTGCTGGTGCTGGACAGTAAGTGCTTAGGAAACCAGTCTGTATTCAGCAGCACTCTTTGCAGCTTTTTGCTATTAGGTATCATTTTTGACCTTTAGTAACTGCTGTCTCAAGAACGCCGAGTACAGCGATGAGAGTGCGCTTACTGCTTAGCAACTGTAGCCTCTTTGCAATAAGTCTAATCAGCGGCCGAGGGTTTCTCTGGTAGTGAGGTCAACTTGGCTCAAAGCTCGTTATGGCATGTTTTCTTGGCATTGGACATATTTCTCTGAGAGGCACTCTTTCTGCAAATGCTATCCAGTCCTGCTCTGTCATTTTTATGTTACTCAGTGATCATTGTGACCTTAGTGCTTGATGCCTGGGCTAGATGGACTCTTGGTTGGACCCAGTATGGTGGTTGTTATATAACATGAGTTAAAGTAATTATAGGCCTTTTTAGTGTGCATGTCTGAAAAGGAAAAATATAGCTCTTATATGATTAAAGCTACTTGACTTAAACTAATGCTTACGATTCTGTTCCTATTGAGCCTTTTAGGGAAAGGGGACCCGTATTTGCACAGGAATTTTCCTAGACACTCTGAGTGAGTGTTTCTGCTGCCCTTCACCATGGTCTTTCCTGTTTCTTCTGTTACTTGCTTCTAATACAGAATTTATCAGACAGCCAGTTACAAATCCGATTGATAGTCATTGGTTTCACCACCTCTCAGAAAACTAGGTAACAATTACAGAAGGTAATGCTAATCAGTTTGGGAACTACCATTTCAAAGCCTAGGGACAGCAGCAGAAACATGAGAAGAGTTTACTGGCTAGGGAAGAAAGCAACATAGTGTTTAGTGGTAAAAGCTTCTGAAGATGAAAGTCTTTTTTTGCAGCTGTTGATGGCACTTAGCAGGGAAGACTTGCTACTGTGGCAGCCAGGTGAGCAGAGAAACCTTTACTGTCCTGTCCACAGCCGTTCTATTTTATTTAGAAACGGAACCCTGCCCAGGTTTAGATCTAGTAAGCTAATACTCATTAGATCATTGAATCTAATAAGCAGTATTCTTCCAAAAGGTGGGTGGATTGAACAACTCCTGGTGTCCTGCTTCAAAGGTATTTTATTCTTATTTACTACAAAGGAACGTGCTAGACCGGTATGTACTTTACTTGACGTTCAACAGGACTGACACCTCAAGGCTTGTTTTCACACACAGAACAGCCAAGGTTGGAAGGGACCTCTGGAGATCACCTAGTCCAACCTCCCTGCTCAGGCAGGGTCACCTAGAGCACATCGCACAGGATCGCGTCCAGACGGGTTTTGAATATCTCCAGGGAAGGAGACTCCACCACCTCTCTGGGCAACCTGGTCCCGTGCTCAGTCACCCTCCCAGGAAAGAAGTTTTTTCCTCGTGTTCAGATGGAACCTCCTGTGTTGCAGTTTTGTGCCCGTTGCCTCTTGTCCTATCGCTGGGCACCACGGAGAAGAATCTAGCCCCATGCTCTTGACACCCTCCCTTTAGCCATTTTGTATACGTTGATGAGATCGCCTCTCAGTCTTCTCTTCTGCAGCCTAAACAGGCCCGGCTCTCTCAGGCTTTCCTCATCTGAGAGATGCTCCAGTTCCCTAACCATCTTAGTAAAGCCCTTTACTAGGCTTGCTCCAATAGCTCCCTGTCTCTCTCGTACTGGGGAGCTCAGAACTGGACACAGCTCCCCACGTGTGGCCTTCCCCGGGGCTGAGCAGAGGGGCAGGATCACCTCCCTCGACCTGCTGGCAACACTCTGCCTCACGCAGCCCAGGACACCACTGGCCCTCCTGGCCACAACGTGCCGCTCTTGGCACACTGCTGGCTCATGGTCAACTTGTTGTCCACCAGGACACCCAGGTCCTTCTCTGCAGAGCTGCTTTCCAGCAGGCCAGCCCCCAGGCTGTCCTGGTGCAGGGGGCTATTCCTCCCCAGGGGCAGGACTTGACACTTGCCTTGGTTGAACTTCAGGAGGTTCCTCTCTGGCCGGCTCTCCAGCCTGTCCAGGTCCCTCTGAATGGCAGCACAGCCCTTTGGGGCATCAGCCGCTCCTCTCAGTTTGGTATCATCAGCAAACTTGCTGAGGGTGCACTCTGTCCCTTCCTCCAGGTGAAGAAGTTGAAGTTCATCCAGATGAAGTTGAACAGTTCTGGACCCAGTACTGACCCCGGAGGACGCCACTGGCTACAGGCTTCCAACTAGACTCTGCATCGCTGATCACCGCCCTCTGAGCTCTGCCATCCAGCCAGTTCTCAATCCACCTCACTGTCCACTCATCTAACCCTCACTTCCTGAGTTTACTTTCCTAGAGCCAGCTGCTCTTTCGGCTTTGAAGTCCAGGAAGACATTCTCTCACTGAGTTTTGTCTCCTAGGGACATACAAATTTGAAGGAGTCGGGGCAGGGTGGTAGTGAGAAGGTCTGTCCGTGTGGCAAGGGTGTTGTCTTAACACCTGAGGGACTTACTTGGTTCTTTGTTGGGTTCTACATGTGGATGATTTGGGGAAGTGCCTCAATTTTATAAAATAACATCTAGATGATTAGTTGACTGGTCTTTTGGGTATGACAACAAAATACAAGATTCTTTGAACTTGAACTTTGAATTCTGCATAAGTGTCCTGTTATACTGTGCATATTTTAAGATTTATGAATGTTTTCTAGTGTTTCATCCTTTCTTGCTCATCCTGTTTACTAACCCTTGATAAAGGCCAAGGTTACTTGTAGGCAGTATTTAAAGCTTATGAGTACTGAGCGTAGAAAGGAGGTGTCCAATTGTTAGATCACTGCTCGACCTCGCATGAAAACTTGCATCTCTAATGATGGAGTGGTGTGTTTGGTCAAGAAGGGCATAGCTTTCTGGGCCTGCTCTGCGAGCTCTGGAAGAGCATAGGTTAGGAATATAGTTTGCAGGGCATCTTCTTGGGCGATAGACTAGAGTAAGAAATGCTTGTCCTGAATGTGCTTTGTGATAGTACTGGAATGCAATTTAATGGTTATTTTACTCTTTGACTTTCCCCCAAGAACATATTTTGAGATTAAGCAAACAAATCTGTTTTTTGCCTTAATGGCTTTAAACAATGGAAATCCTCAACAGTAGCATGACTTTAGAACAAACGGAGAGGGAAAGAATTAGTATACTTTAACACTGACATCGTAGATACTTCAGGCATTTGTTTAAATTTTTTTGTGTATATTTGATTCATGTGAAATTTTAATGATTGTGCATACTTAACGTAATGCACCTTACATTATGCAGAATGGTCTGTTAGCCAAAGTCTAATAGCCAGAAGGCTCTTACTAGTGTTTTATTGTATGACACCAAGGAAGAGCAGTGCAAGAGGTTGACCTGCTTCCTGGAGCAGGTCCTGTTCTAATTTCTTTTACATTCTTAACATTTGTAGTAGATCTCTTGATATATCATCTTAAGATTGTACTTGAATCTAAAGAAATAAGAGGAAGATTTTCTGGTACCTAATTTAAATGTTTTTAAAAACTCTTATCTACATGAATCTAAGAATCTAAAGCATACATTTGAAAAGCACCTGTCAGATAAAATGAGATGAATCCAGTTTGGAGAACAGCTTTCAGACTAAGCAAAATATAGATGAATGTACATGATCTTGTATAGATGAGAATGAGTAGACTGTATCGAAGTGAAAGGTTGTTTTCTTGGAAGCTGCAATTTGGAACGTAAGGGAAATCCAGTAATATTTTGTGTTCCGGCATTAACTGGACTCCAAAACACCATCTCCTGTCTCCTTTACCATTTCCTAAATGTAGGTTTCCATGATTGTGCCCTCCTGCTCGTAGAGGTGTAGCACTGCTGTTCCTAGCGCTTTGTCTTTCGGTTTATTGCTCCTGTTTTCTTACTTTTGCTTTTCCACTTGCTTTTTTTGCCTCCTGCTCTTCAGGTTTGTGTTTTTGTTTGCTGCAGCCTTTTAACACTTTCACAGCGAGTTAAGGTATGAGGAAGGGGGAAAATAAGTCATGACTTCTTTTTCTCTCTTTTTTTTTTCTTAAATTGCTTGTGGAAGAGCGAAATATAATTTTTAGATCTTGTCATGTTATCTTGCTGCTGCTGCTGGGCCTTATTCACTAGATGAACTTTTCCGTGAAAGATAGACTATCCTTATTCTTTTTTCTGGTGCTCATGCTGGTTTCATTCTGGCAGGCTTGATTTATTGCTGGTTTTGTAGTAGAGACTATAGCAAAAGGAAGCGTCAAAAGTATATGAAAGGATGCTAATAGCTTCTTCAAAATTGACGTCCAAATCCTAAATAAAAATGACAGAAGTATTTTCTATTCTCTGATTTCCCACCCACCACTTCTTTGCCCTTATCCCAGAAATGTTAGACATGAGCTTGGAACTCTCTTGTTTCATGTACTGTTATATATGTAAAATGTTGGAATTTTTTTTTAGATCAATTTTCAGCTGGAGCAAACAAGAGCCCGCCATGAATTCCTTCCTTCTATATTGCAGGCCCACTCCCCGATGGATGGGAACAAGCTATGACCCAGGATGGAGAAATTTACTACATAAACCATAAGAACAAGACCACATCTTGGCTAGACCCAAGGCTTGACCCACGCTTTGGTAAAAGTTCATCTCACTTCAGAATTTTTGATCCGCTTCAGTTCACTTAGCAGCTTTCATTCTGCAGGCATATTTTGGAAACTTTTTGTAGTAAGATTAAATAAGATTAAAATATATTTTAATTTGAATCATAGAGATTTTTTTTTCTTCAGAATTAGCGTATATCCTGTAGGAGTATAGTCACCGAAGGTTCTAATGCTAGAGGTTGGGATTTTGCCATATGATCCATACAGTTCCCAAACTTGGTTGCATTCAGGAACTATTTATCTGAGACGGTTTTGTCCAAGCTCCCTTAAACTTGCAAAACTTTGCACCAGAAAAGCCTTTTAATTCCCGCATAAACAATTAGTTTCCTTTACACTGTCCTAAGGAGGTCATTCTCTAATAGCAATTTATGCTCTTTAAATACACTTGAAACATATACCAGCTTATAATTCCAGCTTGTCACAGTGATGATCATGACAAAAATTTCTATTTTAAACAATATGGAGAGAAATGTTTAGTTCCTTTGTTTCTACCTTAATCTTCTTTTTGAGGGGTAAAGAATATTAATTAGACTATGTAACTTGAAAAGAGAAATAGTCACTTAAATAAGAGTCTGAATGTAAATATTTTATGCAATAGAACTGATATTTTAGGTTTCTGGCAATATTTGTCCTCTACACTAAAAGCAGAGTTGCAGACTTTTCAGTAAAATACTGCCATTATTGATACAAATAGCAATAGAATATAAATAACATTGTTAAGAGACATCCAAATGAGCTCCTTAGATCATCCAAGTGATTGTTCTTATGTATTCAAAGTGGTTTATTTTTGTAAGAAGTCATGACCTGTGTGTATTTAAACTTTATTAGATGTATGTATTTGTCTTTGATCTGTTTTCCGAATAACTTACTATTTTCAACTCCTTTGGATTTTAGTTATTTTTCCACAGCTATGGAAAAACTGGTAGGGGTAAAACAACAAAAAAATCATTGTCGTTTTCAAGCTTTAGTTTTGGACTCAGTGCAACTAAATGAAAACAGTGTGCAGATCACTGAGTAGGTCAGGCTGAGGGGATACAAAGCCTTTGAAGCTTTGCAGGGGTTGACCTAACAACAACTGTGGGCCCCTTTTGGGAGAGGCATTAACTCCATGAATGCCATATAAACACAGAGCTGCAAAACTCAACAGTCCCCGTTCTGTTTTGTTTTTCTGAAATGGCTGTTAGAATTTTCAACGTTTTTGTTTTGTAGGCTTAAGTGCTTACATTAAACATCTGTTTGCTCTTATGGAAAACACTAGATTGTCACACTGTTCATAAACTGCTCACTAGTTTGTAGACAGGTTGAACCACTGTGCAATTTGAGCCCGAAGGTGGGGCATATACGTATGTATTGATGATTGTCAGCTTTGGCAGATGTCCATGTTGACTTTGACACCCGCCTGCAGGTTGCAGACCTGTTTGTGTATTGCAAGAGGAGTGTGTGGATAATTTGCGACTTCACAATTACTAAATAAGTGAACAAGGCTTAAAAGGAAGCAGTCGTTTTGAAAATCAGTGTTGCCTCTTGCAGTGAAAAGAGGCAGTCAATTATATTTTCTTAAGTAATCTGGCAGTATGTATATATTGCTTTTCTTTATATTACTTTAGAGTTTAGACTGACAAGAGCTGGATAGACCAGCTGGATCTGAAAAGGAGTGTGGAAAAGGCTTTAATTGACCAAGGTCATGAGTGAGATGAATCTTGTTTCTCAGAGCTATTTTGTACTTCTGTAAATAGTACGTCTAATTACAAGGGTAAAAGCTACTTGTCTTGTGTACGCTGAAAGTCCATGAAAAGTTAAGGCTGTGCAGTTAAAGTGAAAGAAGTTAGAAATGTCCAAAAGACTGCATAAGGGTTTCTTGCTGCATAGCTTCCCTTTTTGGGCCCACTGTGTATGTGTATCCCAGACAGGCTTGAGTACGTGCCAAGGCTCTTTATTTCGTGGTCGGACTTTTAATCTGTTCCAGACCTTTTCAGTCAAAGAGCTCAAGTGTAACTGAAAGGGGCAGGAAAGAGGGAAAAAAAAAAAAAAGAAGAAAGAAAGAAAGAAAAAAAAGCATGTGGGCTCTTCTGATCTGGAGTGACGGCAAATAGAGACAAGCTGCTAGCTGATGATGTTGAGCTTGAAGGAGTTTTCCTTGACATCTGAAGTTGTGCGCGTTGTATTGTGGTGTATGTTTTTATCATTTGAGCCAAGAAAATACAAAATCTTATTCCTGTTGCTTTCTTACTTGTGACCCTCTTAAGCCACTCCAGTAAAGAAGAAAAATATCTGTTTGACAGAGATAACTTACTGTGCCTGACATTTATTTATCATGTACAGATCCTCAAGAAATGTACTGTGACTCTAAATAAAATGTGAATGACTCAGAAGTTTACCTTTCAGTGCTCAGTGTGGGTTGAAAATCCTGTTTATTTCAGAGGATTGCCGTACCCTTTTGTATCCTAGTGTTTTAATACAAAGTCTTGCTTTTCATTGTATTTTAACTGTTAACACTTTCAAAAGCAAAATGTGAATGCATCTTTGTAATGATAAGTTCTTGACCAATGCAATGATATTAATGTTAACTGAAAATGAAGGAGAAATTCACTTCTTCCTTGATGCTCCCTCTTTCACCAATCTGAAGAACCATTGAAAACAGTAAAGCTGTTGAATGGTATGTGCAAACATGCTCTTCTGTTAGTATTCAGAAACATAAGGTATGAAGAGTGCTTTCCCCTTACTGTTTCTGAATTCTCCACTTGCAGAGAGGCTGCTCTTATTTCTCTGTATGTTCCTCATCAGATGGAAGCTTCGCATTCGTCTTTATTTTCTGTAGTAGGTGTGCGTGGAAGTTTTTTTCAAAGTAGTCCTGGGTACTATTCCTTAAGGTGACTAGAAAAGAGGGAGGAAGGAGGATCAGTTTAAAGGCAGACACACCTACTGACTTATTTGGTGATGAGCATTTAGGTATTGCATTCATGCCTTTAAACAGAAAGTAAAAAGATGCAGTTGGTACATATTCTTTCTTGGAGCAGGCTTTTAAGACTAATGCATCAGATAAAAAGTTCCTGTCAGAATACAGAATACTGTGAAGTAGGCTGGGTCTAAAATCTGCGTGCTCCAAGTTGAAAATGAGAAATTCATCCAAGACTCCGTTCTAACATATTTGAAGTGGGCTTGAAGTCTTCAGCTGCATCACTTTAAAAAAAAAACTGCAGTAAAGTCTTGTTGTGGCTCTGGTACTGATCCTCCAAGTCTATGCATGTGGCTTTCGAACAGTTTTGAGTTAGGAGAACTGACGATCCTTAAAATCTAGGAAAGGACTAAATATGAAAGGAAGACCTTCCCATGCCAAGCACAGACCATCATAAAAGATCATATGGGACCAAAGGGGGTTGGGGAGAGCTTCCTCAGGCCTGTGTCAGCAGGATTCCTTGTGCTAGCAGAGTATCTGGTACAAACATGCTGTCCAACCTTTCTCAGTGCCTTTGCAGGCCCCATGATAAGGGGCTTCAAGGTTTATTTCTTGGAGATTATTTTCTTAAGAGAATTAGTCAGATTGAGCTAACTTTTTGGAGTGTTTTTGTCCTTTACTAGCTTCTTCCCTCCTCTGCCATTGTCCATTGCTCATTCTTCTCAGAACCCGATGTTTCTTAATAGTCAAAGAATGTCTCAGTAGGAAGATGATCATCTCAGCGTGCTGAGTTGTTGGAGCTGATGAAGTAGGAGAACAACATCTGCTTTTTCTATAAAATATAATTTCCTAGAATCAATTTTAAAACAAAGTTCAGAATCATCCAACTTTATTTCTGCAACTTTCCGAGATTTGGCTTTTACCTCAAATAGCATTAAGGGCTTTTAACTGTTACTTCAGCGTGCAGATGGTAGGACTGGTTCTTGAAATTCAGGTAAAAATAATTTGCCCTTTGAGGATACTTAATTTGTTAATTTCAAAGATGGATGGTGAACTTGGAAAAAGTGGGAAAAACGTCAGAAACTGATAATTAATTTCACTTTCTCTGTTAAGTTAACCTCAATCTTAAAGTTTTCACACAAGTACTCCATTAGAGTATTTAGACAATTCTGCAGGAATTGGAGAAAAACAAGATACTGTTTCAAGTTTTTGTTAGATTGTTCCAAACTTCAGTTTTATGGATTTGTTGCTAAGCTGTCATACTAGCCCTATGCGTGTCCAGTCTTTTTCCTTCTGTTCTTTTCAGCATTGGAGCTGCCAAATGGGGTATGAAGCAAGAGCCGTGGCAATGATTTCAGTCGGAGGTCATAATTTCATTTTTATCATTCCCAGTTAGGGATCATCTTAATGTGTATGAAGTTCTGTATGAATTTTGGATGAGGAGAAAGGTAAGGAAAGGTGCACAGAGCTTCTGTGGCAAGTAGTTGCTTAAATGACCCGTAAGAAAAGGAATGAAAGTGTTAATAACAGCAGGAGCATAGAGAATGCACATCAGGTTTTTCTGCTTCCTTGTTTCATAATGCAAGCTCAGTATGCCTTTAAAACTTGCAAAGGGTTTGCTCAGAACTGCTGAAAGAAAACACAGACTGTAGATTTCATTGCAATAAGCTGTCAGAGGCAAAAAAGGCATGAGATTTGGTTATTTATGAAGAACAAGAATATCCTTATGCATGGCAGCTTGTATTTATCATTTTCTTTAAAAACTTAAGGTGTTTTAAGTACATTTCAAGTTCTAAAAACTTAAGTTTTGAAACATCTGCTAATTTTTAAGTACTGAGAATTAAAAAGAAGTGTTCCATAGCATTGTGTTTATCCCTTACCTATCTAAAGTTGTTTAACAAACATCTTTTAAGTTAGTTTGTATGACCCCTCACAAAAGGCAGATTTGTAGGCATCACAGAACTGCAACGCTAGTCCGGAAAAAATTGTTAGACTTTTGAGCTTTGTCTGGTCACAGTGGCCTCTCAGCTTTTACGTTCTAGGTCGGTCTTCTATCTCTGCCCAAAAGCAGAACATGAGCCACATTTGTTTTTGATCTGCAAGCTCAGTGGCATATCCTCTATACATGCTGTATCATTAAAACAATGGTTTTGACTCATCTGAAAGGTTCCTTGGTGTTTGTTTTTTCATTTCCCTGTTCCTGCTCTTCCAGAAGAACAGTTTCAGGAGATCACTTAGGATCCCCTTTTCTTAGGGGAAAAGAGCCATTTTGCTAAGTATTTCGAAGAATGTATGCATACTGAGCGAGCAGCATCACTTTTCAGTGAAACGGTGACTTGCGTCAAAATGAGTTCATTGTGAATCTGCAGAGGCAGATGAAATTTCACTGGTTTGCATCCGTTTTTGTAGGGGATGCTGCCCTATAAAACGATAGTGATGACAGAGGCTTATTAGTTATTAATCACTGTATTTCAGAAAATGAAAGGTTGATTTGCATGAAAGCACTTTATGTTTATTCCTGTAGAGTAAACAGAGTTCAATGAAGAAATCATTAAATCTGCCCGCAAGTAGTTTACAAACTACGTTATGTAGATTATTGGTACACCAATAAAATAAGCTTTTATTAAAGATTTTTGAGGGCAGTAGGTTTATACGGGCTTATAACTGCTTTTGTTTCAGCATAATTTAATCCTGTTTGAGGAAGGAGAGTGGTTGCTAGTGATACCTTTATGCCACTCTAAATACCTGCATCTCCACTGTTGTGCTAGCACACCTATGACAGTAAAAGAAAACCGTTCTCCCAGTAGGGCCAATTTACCCACCATAGTCTTCTAACTCTGCCGTTTGCATGTCTCTCTAAATAAACCATGGAAATTGAAAGTGCATCCTTTTGGACACATCATTCATTATTATCTGTAGTCTACAAGTGTTTGTTTAAAATTTGAAACGTGATTTCAATTTGTTTTTTATTAAAAAAATTGCACTGTTTCTTGACAATATACTGCTGATTTAGAAAATTACAGTGTTTTTTAATTAAATTTTGTAATTCTCATGCAATCATCTCTAATTGGCATGTGGTGGAGACAGAAAATAGATGCACATATGCACATGCATATACATAGGGTATAAATCGGAATAAATAAGAATTAAATATGAATAAATCAAAGTGAATAAATTAGAAATTAAAGGAAACATTCATTAAGAAAATTGTAATGACTTTCATATTATTTTATAAAAAATATAAAGAAACTTTGTTTGGTCTGGTTAACACAGGAAGTGATATGTGATGACTGAACAACAAAACTGTTGGTAGCTAATACCCTTATGTATACTCTTTTCTGATTGAGCTGCGGTCTAAAATAGAGATTAACTTTATTTAAGTATATTTTGCCAGATCTTCAGTTCACAAGTATTATGAAGTGTTTCATCCATAGATTTTAAACAGAAATGGCATGACTTGGGGTTTTCTTCTCATAATCTGTCCTTTATGGTCATCTACTAAATAGTTCTGTAGTACTAATCCCACAAGGAAGAAGCATGTTAGTTCTATTCAGTAGGTAGATTTTGAAATATTTCAATATTTTCAAATTGTTTAGACTTCCAAAGTTAAAATTCATTTTAAAGAATAGAAAATGTTTTGATTCATATGCATGCATTGGACGGAAGTCTCTTATAGCTATTTACATTACTGATAAAGCTTGTTCCTGCTTGCTTTTCTGACTGGCCAAAGTATTTCAGTTCTTCTGAAACTGATGAAATTCAGTGAAAGTGTTGCATAAAAATTGCTATTTGCTGCTATAGGAAAAAAAATGAGATCCATGAACAACTACAATAGCATTTTGCTCCAATTTAGTTTCAAATGTGTTAAGAAACAGTTTGGTGGTATTACAGAGTCGTAGCAATGGTCTCAAGCTGCTACACCTCTTCATGTTAGGATAGGGGGAAACAAAATTTTTTAGGACAGTGGCAGCTTTGTCAGAAGCACACTAAGAACTGTTCATTTTAACTTCCACGTTTTTAATCATGGGGTGCCTTAATGATAGAAGAGCAGAAAGAAAACGACTAATTTCACTTTAACACAAATAATTGATAAATGCAAAGCA